GGCTCCTGCTAGTTTATGTTAAAATCGGCTTCCTCCGCATTAAGGCGAACACACTCCACTCCTCATGGTCTATCATTTATACATAAATAGTGTAAATATTTCTTCACGTAGCAACCTTGAGATGATAAACTGTCATTTAAATTGTGAATAATAAAATATTGGGCCAAACCAGGACAGACGACCGCACACTCTTAAATCTTCAAAATACAGCTTAAACTTACTCCCCTGTTATATATACTACTGATATTACCTCCTAAAACTGTAACCGGCTTAATAAAAATGTCCTATTATGAGATCATACCATGGGCACGCACGCTGGAATTATTCATTGGGTAATCTTCAGGGGTTAGTGTGGCTGTAAATTATAACAGATATGTTTGTTTTACACACACACTGCAAATAATTATAAAAAAGAAGGTAATAAATGCAGGTGTTGAGTGGTTTTTATCAATATTTGTCTTAATTTTGTCATTCAACGGGAAACATTTCTTGTATCTTTTTTTGTCCGGTTTTGGCAAATCTTTTTAAACACAGTCAAAAATGTGCTCAAATTAAGATACATTTTACCAATTTTTATTAAGTTTGTACTTATTTTTCCTCACTTTTTGCAGTGAATATTCATTTCTCAAAACCTACTCAACACCAAGCTCAACTAATTACACTTAAGACACAAAAAACACATTCTAATATTCTACAAATAGGGTCCGGATTTATCTGCGGAGAAAGTCGAATTTATCTTGGACTCCGCCTTTGTTTTTCCAAGTTCTGGGAAGCTTCATATAAAAAGAGGGTCAAAAAAATAATGGTTTTTTTGAGGGGGGTTGAGAGGGGAAAAAAGGGAGGAACGAATTAATTTTTTTTTTTCAGTGAAATGTGAAATTACGCGCGCGCTGAGAAAACAGATGAGAGAGGGTTCTGGGTGGACAGCAACACGTCGTAAATCACGCTGAACACAAGAATCGAGCAGAAAAAGGTCAAAGAGGAGGCTGACGTTGTGCTAAGGGCTCTGTAATTACACACCGTCCCTATAGACAAAACCAATGCGACAGCTCAACAAAATACACACACACACACACACACACACACACACACACACACACACACACACACACACTCTCTCTCTCTCGCTCTAACTCTCTTTCTCTCTCTGGCTCTCTCTCCCACACACACAGACTTTCGGATTTAGGGCTTGCCTGCTATAAAGCTGGGGTTCCTAACGTTGACACCGCAAAGAATGAACCTCTACACTGCAAAAAATGATCAAATATGAGGTAATAATTGCTTGAATCGAGTGGTTTTTATCTTACTTTGAGTGCATTCTGACTGTATGAAAACAAGATTTTCCAATGGGACAAAACAATTTAGACTTATTTCAAGATCTGTTTGTTTATTTTCTCATTCCAAGAGAGGCATTTCTTGTGTCTCTTTAACCCATTGGTAAATCTTTTTTTAATCAAAATGTACTCAAATTAAGAGACATTCTGCCAAATTTTAGCATTTTTTGTTCATCACTTTTTGCCGTGTATGCAATGGAATCATATAAAAGAGTTTGGTCTTTAGGTAAAGAAATGCAAGATTTTGGAAAATAATGAAAATTTCAGACCTTAAAATTGGACGTACAAGGGGAGGCAGCATTTTAGATTTATGCAGCTAAAAACTGAAAAGTCTTCCTGAACATGTGAGACGGGCTTCTTCTCTGACAAGGTTCAAATCCAGTCTAAAAACAGTTCTGTTTAACTGGATTTCATCTTCAATATGATTTTAATGTTTCTTAATCTTTGTTTTCTTGCAGCACTTTGAGGTCTCTTGTGTATGAACCGTGCTATACAGATAAACTTGCCTTGCCATCCATCTTTCAGAGCAGTACTTGGCGATAGCTTGGTCTTCTAGTTAAAGCTTTGGTACTTCACCCTCAGACCACAAAGAATGGAACTATGAAACAATCCATCCATAGTTCCAACGCCCTCAAACCAGTCTGGTTTAGAAATGCAAGGTTTTGGAAAATTATGAGAATTCATCCAATCCACTTTATTTATATAGAACACTTTATTCCCACTGGGTTTAGGGTCAGTTGTTCCGATGCAGGAGGGTCTAAGAACAGTGATGATCCGGGACATTCAAGGACAATTATTAACATTTAAACACATTTGTCATGCTGAAGCTATAGATTTTTAACTTGTTTCTTTAATATGCTAAAGCTATAGATTTCTTATTTTATTTTAGTATAGAGTTATTATTGATTTATCTTGTGCTGTGAGCTCCTACTGTTCTGTACCTGGTGATGCAACACTGAAATTTCCCCACTGTGGGACGAACAAAGGATCTCTTAATAATTCTAGTACTAGCCAAACCAAAAACTTACAGTAGAAAAAATAACTATAGTGAAAAATAAGCAGGAGCTGTGCAGCTTTAAATGTTACAGGGAAATACCATTGACCTCTTTACAAACGTCTGAATTTATTTTAACTTTTGGGTGTATTTTTTTACTCCTGAGGTGACGTTGTGCCCAGTTGAATTGTTATGTCTGGCTGGAGCAGACATAGGGCGACAGTAGCTCAGTTGGCCTTTGAACCAGAGAGTCGCGGGTTCGAGCCTGACTCTCACCATCGACTCCCACTGTCATTGTGTCCTTGGCAAGACACTTAACATCTGGGAACACCAGCCACAGTGGGGCGGCTGTAAAGTGTCAAACTGCTGTTGTGTCCTTAGGCAAGACACTTCACCCCCATTGCCTAGAATGAGTCTGGTGTGTGTGTGCATTTGAGCTTTAATCTGGCACATTTACAGACCCTTTTTCTGCTATTTCTACCTTTAAACATCCGAAAGAAGCAAGTATAAAATCTCTAGCTTTAGCTAGAGATTTTGGTAAATATTGGTGAATAAATTAATCTGAATCTGAATGAAATGTTTTGTACATGGATGGGAGTCTAGACGTTTCTCTTCTTCCCTCTCCAGTTCAAGCTGATAATATGTAAATAGAGTTGTAAATACATTTTGTGAATTTGGTGAATTTGTGCATCTATGTTTATGTTTTCTATATTTGGATTAAATAATTAATTTACAAATGAATACATATTTTCCCATAGAAAAAAACACCAAAAACATTAGCATTTGTGCTAAAATCTGGTTTTTACACTATGTTTCCAGATGTTCAGTGTGCTATTTGATCTTCTAATATAAGACATCATTTGTGTACATGGGAGTCTAGACATGTTTCTTCTTCTCTCTATTTTGAGCTGATCATTTATTGGTAAACCTTGTGTAAATATCAACACAGGGTGAATGCTGTAGAATATTGCTTATGTAATTATATGTATAAGTACATGTATATGTGTGTACTGTATTTATTACACAACTAAATGTTGTTATATAAACATTAAGAGTTATTTTGCAACAACAGATATTTCTGTTTTTAAATTTGTCAAATAGTGGTTTTCCACGGGTTACAATCTTCAACATGTTTTATTGGCTGTAGATTTGAAACGGCCCAAGAAGAAGTGAGAGTTTAATCGTATATGGCACTAATATAGATCTGGTTTTTCAAAAAACGATCTGGTACACAAAAAACAGGATTAAAAAGATTTCAGATAATTTCAAATGTAACTAATTCAGCTCAAATGTAGAAATAAATGATAAATTATACGTGTTTTTATACAAATGGGGCTGTACGTTCATAGATGTTGTTAACATAGCTACATAGCCGAGTGAGTTTCCAGAAGAAGTGGGCAATACTGAATATAAAATTGTATTTTATAAACAACAAGGTTGTATTTCTTTATATCTTTTTTATGTGTATTTATGTTTTTTTCCCCAAATTACGTATATACTTTTTATAATTTCTTTATCTTTTTAAAGAACATAAAACTCCATCAGCACAGATTTCAGATTTTTCTCAGAACTAAACAGTTCTGACTCTGGCAGTCTTCCTGAAAATGTGAGACAGGTTTGACAATGTTCAAATCATTCAAAATAATTCTGTTTAGCTGTTCAATGTACCGTGATTATTTATGATTTTAATGTTGTGTGTGACTTTGCCTTGTGTATGAACCGTGCTACGCAAATAAACTTGCTTTACCTGTGTGTGTTGAATACGCATCTTATTAGTGTTTGTATCGCCATCAATATTTTGTTTATCCTTTACAAGTTACCAATGGCTCAGTAAAATCAGTGAGAAAAAAGCCTTCCAAGATCTCAATAATAAAATGATGATAGATTATAATATGATATTAAAATATAATATACTTGCTTCATTATAAAGCTAATGTTAGAGATTTTATTTTATTTCTGTATAAAGTGTTGTTCATTTATCTTGTGCTGTGTGCTCCTCATTTCTACTTTTCTGTAACTTTTTGATTCGTCCCCGCTGTGGGAGGAATGAAGGTTGATCTTAATCTTAATCAATTATTCAGACACGCCTTAATCTGTCGTTTTGAGAGTCAAACAAAAACATACAGGCCTGTAAAGATTGTGTTGAAAATGAAAAACATAATAATAGCAAATAAGGTTTTTAAAGACGCACGCGATCACCATAGACTGTAAATATAGGAGAGTCCATGTGTATATCTATGTTACAATATATATTTTACATATATTACATTTTAGAGGCGTGGAGCGTGCGTAACGTGCGTAACGAGAACCAGGGCTCAAATAAGACAATTTACAAGTGACTGATATTTGGTTTGACTTTAATGTATATTCATTTCATTTTAATTCTGGCGAAATAAAATAGTTCATAGTGTATAAAGGCTGCACGTGTGGCTGCTCCTCGCGCACTCTTTACGTATCCACAGCCCCCGTGCGTAAAGCCAGATACACAACATTTAACGTCACACACACATAGAAACATCACCATCACTGCCTTTACTTTACATAAAAAAGTACTTAAATAAATATAAATAAAGCACACATCATAAACTGTAGTTATGTACAACTGTGCAACGTGGCGACGCGGTTGGTCACGCACGCACTGTCCGCTCTGAGAGGCCCGCGCGTCGGCTCGGTCAGCTGTCAGAGTCCGCCTCGCTCTTACTCTCCTCCGCTTTTTCTGCACACAGTTTGTTCGTTTTGTTCCATTTCTGCGCGTTCTCGGACTCCTCTGACGAAGAGCGCTTCTGCCTCCTCCACTTTGCGCGTCTGTTTTTGAACCAAACCTGAACGAGGCGAGAGAGACAGAACAAAGATATACATGTTTATTTATAGGCGCGAAATAGTCAATGATGGGAGGGCTGTTGTGGGTTGTATATAAGGTCTGGGTCAATAAAATATACTGTTATGTGGAAGAGAAAGGCTGCGTTTGATATATTTATAATTCACTTTTCGCGTCTGTTTTGTAAGCAAATCTAAACGAGGCGAGGGGGAAAAGAAAAAAAAGATACATGTTTATAATAGGCGCTTTTTTAACGGCGCAGAAATGAGTATTGGGTCATAGAGTCTGGGTTATGAGCAGTCTGGGAGAGAAATGTTGCGTTTGAATCATTTGTTATTCACAGATAAATTTGCGACGTTTCGGGCTGATGCAGGAGAGACAAAGTATAAGGACAACGATGATCCGAGAGATTTAATGAGTATTGGTTTTTCATTTATGGGCATTGGTCATCCCGCTCTATCATTTTCTGTGTTTGAACTGTTTGATTCTCTAATCTGTTGTTGGTGAATCCACAACGTTGTGAGGTTCTCCGTGACGACTGCTGTTGTGATTTATAAAAAGACTTTGAACTGAATTGTCTGTAGACCGTGATTCAGGCCTTGGGTGTGTCTGTTTACACTATAAATAATGACAGATAAATATTCGTTGTGAAATTTCTGGCTAAAAAAATGAAAGAGCAAATTGTATGTATTTTAACAAACGTCACATTTATCGTGTTTTAAATAACAATTACATTTACTTCATGATCACATTTCAGAGTCATTGTAACCCCATATATCTCCGTGTTTAACATTTATTGAACAGATTTGTTTTTCTTTCAACCATTTTTTTATTATTGTTGAATTTCTACATCAGAATTCTCGCAAACTATAAGAATTTGCTTTGTTCATTAAGTAATAGAATAGAAATAAAGGCATGCAACAAAAATCCTAATGAAATTCTAAATATACAATTTCATTTGAAAGGATTTGCCTCTAAAAAGAGGTGACACTTTATGGCACTAAAATATGTATGGCCTAAAAACTACTCACGTGACAAAGTCTGCAAATTGAACTCTGAAAAATAGACTCCGGCGTCAATAAGTGCAGAGTTTTTATAACGCCTTGTGTGATTGTTTTGCATGAACTGTGCTAAATGAATAAACAAGCCTTGTCTAGAATTGGTATTTGACAGATGTAAAAGTCAATTTATCCTTGTTTATCATGTGTTTGGATTATATTTTACTATTTATAATTGTATGTGCAATTATGTCCGTTTTGTCACCTGAATTTCCCTGTCCTATTTATACATGTGTTTTATATTGGTGTCTTTTAATACAATATTTAAAATAAAGTAAATGCGTAAAAGTGGCGGGACCCTCACCTCGACCTTCTCCTCGCGCAGGTGCACCTTTCGGGCCAGCTGCTCCCGTGTGCCCACATCCGGGTACTTGGTCTCCTGGAAGAGGCCCTCGAGCGCCTCAAGCTGCTCGTCGGTGAAGATCGTCCGGTGACGACGCTTACGGCGGCAGTGGAGCTGGTTGAGCAGCTGCAGCTCCGTCCGAGACAAACTGCTCATGTTCATGTACGACATCATCTGCGGCACCGGGGACAGCAGCACCGAGGCGGGACTGTCGTAGCCTGCGGACACAGCACGGTCATGAGGCTCCTGCACTACACGCACACACACACTACACACACACACACAACACACGTAGAGGTATCTTACTGGCAAACAGAGAGTGGGCATGTTGTGTACGTGCAGGAAAGATGACAAAGTCTCTGTGTTTATACGAACGAGATCATGCGGCTTTAAATCACGCGTAAACGCAATACACGCAAGTGACAAGTTTACTCTGCGCAGAGTCACGACCTGCGTCTCCACATCTGCCGCAGACACAACAAAGTCACGGTTCTACTGGGATCTGTCACGTGCACTTATGCAAACACTTGTGGGAAAGTTTCAAACTCTAACACATTCTAGACGTTACGTGGAGACGTTCATCCCCAAAGCCCACAGACACTCACCCGGGGGGATGCAGGGACACTGCTGCGGGCTGAGCCCGGGCACAGAGCCGCAGCAGGGCGGTGCTCCGGGCCCCTGGACCCCGGGGCCCTGCAAATGCAGCTGTCCGTAGTAGTAGCTGTTATATCCTAAGCGCGTCCCGCTGACGGGCTGCACCCCGGGAGCAGACGGTCCGCATGTGGCCGAGTACAGTCCGTTATACTCTGGGTAGATGGAGTCCGTGAGGCCCGACAGCAGCACGGGGCTGCGGTGCAGCAACAGCGGCTCTTTGCAGCCTGTGCGTCCGGACAATATGCTCTCTATGCTGAACATCCCCGCCGGCATCTCCGCGGTTCAGAGACAAAAGAGAGAAAAGTAAAACAAGTGTCCGGATGTGGAGGCGTCCTGTCCGCTCAGACCTGCGTCATGTTGCTGTGAAGGGGATCAGTGTGTGACTCCTCTGGGTGGGACAAGCTGAGCCCCAGAGCCGGAGCACCGCCTTTATACCCCACTGACGTCACCACGCTCTCCCTGATGCTGCTGCTGCTGCTGCTGCTGCTCTGTGTATTGAGAATTAATTCAATTAAGATAATCCGCACTGTTTGCAGACTTTTGGACAACTCCAGTGTTGGACCCGAGTCTTCTTCAGAGTTTAATCCGAGTATTGTCTTGTCACTGAAAGCATCATCTTCATAAAGAGCACATAGTGTTTACAATGAGGAGGCGTTCACGACCCTTCCTTCTAGTCACCAAGAGCCGCAAACAAGTGACAGATCCGCGCGTGAACTTCCTACTGCTGCTGCTGCTGCTGCTGCTGCTCCTGCTGATGTTGATGATGCTGCTGCAGCTCTTGATGCCCTGTCTTTGCTCCGGGACCTGATGTTCCTGATGCTCCTGATTCCACTTTAAACACAATAAGACCTGTCTAATCCCGTATAATTATAACCACATATGCGTATTTCCCCGTGTATACTGCTTGTGCACGAACCCTGATTCCCCGTCTCCACCGCGCGGCCCCGGCTCTCTATACCCGGCCTGCAGCACTCTCTCTGCGGGGAGCTTTCCTCGCTGCAGCCGGGGCCCTCCCTTTCCCCTTTCCACACGGAACCTTTCCCCCCTGACCGCGATAAGATAACGAGCCATTATCACCTCCATTGAGCGAAAGAAAGAAGAAGTTATTGCATATTTAGTGCAGCTAATCAACACAGAGGACGCCGCTGTGCTGGAACGTGGATTGCCGCCGCGGAGGCTAATGGGAAGGCGGTGATTGCATTTGCGCGCAGTGGGTCGTTAGCACATTTGTCTGCAGATAAGTTTGTATGCGACAATGAGAACGTTCACATGTGGCCAATGATTATACGGGTTATAGACAGAGCTGGGGCCGCTGTAATGCCATAAAACAGCAGCTGAAACCCAGAACCGCGGCCTCAAGACGCATGCGCTGTCATCTGTGGATATTGTTGGTGATATATTAAAATAGAAGCGTTTCAATGCAATTTTAATTCAATTTATTTGCGTGTGTATAGCCCTAATCGCAACATGCAGCCGTCTCAGAGGACAACAGATCAGATAATTAAACAGAATGAAGACAATAATAACAAACATATAATTGGTCCATATGGAGATATGACCAATGTGCATTAATGTTGATAAATCACCTTTATATAGGATCTCCCCTCGTTCCGAAAATTCTCCTGTTTTTGTTCCCATCTCTCCAGCATTTATTGAAAATACCTAAATAGTATTCACAGTATTAATACACAATTCACCTATACACATATTGTAAATACAAGAGTTAAATTATATCTGTTTGTAGTCGTACAACTGTTCAAAGCGGATAACTCATTATATGTTTGGTTATGTTTATTTCCGCCTCACGCAAACTCACGCAAACCAGATGTGGCGTGTTTATTCCCCTCTTTGTGACCAACTATTTATATGTTATGGCCTTCAGAATCCCAGTGCTAAAGCCTACATTAGTGAGAGAATGATATTTTAAAAAGCATCCTACTCCATTTTAGTCAGTCCTATTATATATATTTTTATCATTATTATTATTACAATTATTATTAAATTCAGCACGTGCACTCGTCACGTCTGCTAATGACATCTGAGAGCATCCTGTTTATTTCGACAATCTCTTTAACCAGCTTTGCCTGTGATTTCTTCACACTTCACTTATTGGCTTCTGTTATCTGTTTGTTCTTACAAATGGCCTCTTATCTCCGCAGATACAGGATTCACACTGTTCCTCCGACTCAGAATTCACTCACAGAAGGCAGAAAAAATAAGCTTTATACTGTGCACGAGGGAGACGTGTCGCTTTTGTTGACAATAATATACAATTAAATACATCATCAAACTAAAAAAGGACAAATGCTATACTATTACTACAACTACTACTGTAATAATACAAATACCAATTCCAATACTAATACTGTATACTACTACTACTACTAATAATAATAATAATAATAATAATAATAATAATAATAATAATAATAATAATAATAATAATAATAATAATAATAATAATAATAATAATAATAATAATAATAACAATAATACAAATACAAATACAAATACCAATTCTAATACTAATACTATACTACTACTACAACTAATAATAATAATAATAATAACAATAAAAACATTAAACGAAAATAGAAATAGGAACATAATAATAATAATAATAATAATAATAATAATAATAATAATAATAATAATAATACAATTTCCATGCATCCATTCCGCTTGATCCGTTGCCGGGTCGCGGGCCGTGGACTGGGTTGAAGTCCCCGCCTTCACCCACTGCGCGGTCCTCTCTCCGCGATCCTCAGACTGTCACAAAGTCTTGCCATTTGTCTTAAGTTCCTCCAGTCTGACTCTGGTTTTAGAACGGGGCTGTGTTTGTTCACTTTGCTCCGAGATGACACACATCTTTCAGTTATTTATATATTTTCTACCTCAGTAGAAAATAGTATTAGTATTTATATATTTTCTACCTGATGATTCCACCTTGATTGTGGTGGAATTTGGTGTGATCTATAGTAATAATTAAAATAATAATAATAATAATTAACAGTCCCCTTTTATATGGAAAGCCTGTGTTTTATAAGCTTGTCTAAAAAAAAAAAACTTTTAGTCCTGTTAGACATACAGTCTGAATATAAATAACTAACAATAAAGACAATAAGAACAAAAACAGGATAATAATACCTTACAGCAGCAACAACATTAATTATACATAATGCAGTATTAACATATTAATAATACATATTTCCAGGCACTGTATATTTGTTTTTTTTTAAACTTTCTTTCTTATAATCGAGAAATGAGGACATGGCAGCAGTGATCGCACCTGTAACTAAAACAAGAAAAAAAATCTATATATCAATTATTTTTGAGTTCTTCCAGACCAAAATAGACGACGAAGCTTTTTTATGATTTGTATGTGTATAAGGACAGAGACGTCATCAGACGCTGATGGTTAAAATATAATCACGATGAAACAATGTGAGTCATAAGAAATAGGTTCAGTTCTTCAGTAATTAGGTTTAGCACAAATACAGATAAAACAGGTAAAATGAATATAACAAAACATACATATTCTACACTATAACACACACATACGCGTTTTTAAAGAACGTGCTTTTATACTTGCGAGTAATTCATAAATCCTTCCTTACATTCTTTTAAGCTTTTGGTTCACAGATGTCTTCCCCCAAAAAAAAAAAACTGTCTCAAAGCTGCTTTAAGATTATCAGTTTTAGCCCTCACTTTTGCACACATTCATTCTATAATAGGCGAAAGTCAGAGTGGATTTCAATTCAAATCTCATTCCTTAACCTCGTCTCGGCTCCAATCATTCGCAGGTGGCTGTAATTTCATTTTGACATGTTTTATTTGCGTTTTAATAATAGCACTCCTCTCGCTCCTTTCTCATTCCGTCTGTGTGTATATATACAGCGGAGTGGCATGAGGAAAACCCGCGTGCCATACACTGCTCTTATTATTATTATTTTCTCGTCTATTTTTTTTCCTTTTTCTTTCTAGTATTTTTTCTTTTTCTTTTTTTTTTTTACTCAGGAGTGCGCACGGTGAAAGAAGAGAGAGAGAGAGAGAGAGAGAGAGCGAAAAAGCCACAAAACCAGGCATCTATTTTGAAATTAAAAGCAGAGAGGAGCAAGCCACCACTTAAAGGTGAATGGAAGTGTCCATCAGGGCGCGCTTGGAGGCGGCGCGCACAAAGGCGAAAAGCATGTATATATATCAAGTGCCCTGATCTGTAAAAACCTGGTTAAATGCGCGACATAAAAACAGCGTGCCCGTGGTAATGCATCCGACAAGAAGGGATAAAGACGTCACGTATAAAATTGTTTTTTTGTATACATATATATATTATGGAAGTGACTGTTAAACATATTTACAGCAAATTCAAGTGGAACAAAAGGGGATTGAATTGAAAGCCGGGAATAACTTGTGATTAGGTTTTAATCATGGTTGTTGTTGCTTTGAATAAAAAATAGCAAATTAAACTCTGAGGCACTGTGGTCGCAGATATGATATTAGATAGATATATACAGATAGATAGACAGACACTAGACAGTACACTTTATCGATTCAGATGGATATTGTATTATGCAATTACTCACATACACAAATAAAAAAACAGAATTTTACATATACAGACAGGCACTGATATAGACAGTAGACAAATAGACAAATGACCTCAACATTTCTCCCATACAAACGTACCTAAAAGACAGAGTGTAAAATGAGGCAAGAGTCACATTGAAAAGTATGTATGTAAACCACAATGTGTAAGTGCAAGGACACGGCTCTGTCCCTTCTGCTCTCTGGAGCTTCAGGAGCGGGAGCAGAGAAAGCTTTGGTTGGACTTTGGGCCCTCATCTATTGTATATAATCATAACTGCCAGTCTTCTTTATGCAGGAGGGTCTGTGTTTGACTAATAAGAAGAACTGGTGATGATCCAAGACATGCACTCAACATTCAACAACTCATTTATCAACACATATGGACATTGGTCAACTCCCCCTATGGCCTTTGTGTTTTCTATTCTTTGTGTTTGAACTGTTTGATTATTCTGATCATATGTTGGTGATTTAATCGGTTTGTTACGTCCTCTGAGATGTACTGTTGTGATACTGTTATGATGTATAGAAATACTGTTACATATTTTATAATCTTGTCAATATTTTGTTGGTTTCTGTGTCTTTTTGTTTGTGTTTTCTGTGGATTATTCGAACCTGCACATTACATTTTTTGTACATATATTAATATAACAGACAAATAACTCAAGCAGTGCTAATAGTAATACAAT